TAAACGTTATTATGTGATTTTTTTTCAATTTTTTTTCATTTTTAAAATGTGCGTTATTTAGATTAAGATATATCAATCACAGTCAAAGATTGCATAATTTTTTTATTTTGTTACAAGATTTTTTCGAGGATAATATAAGTTATTGATTTATTTTTGAATACATACAACATAGTTAATTCTTTTTATTTTGATCTTTTCCGTAAAAACAATTTAAAAAAACTCACGAAGGGGGATAATTTTTCTATTTTATAGAGCGTTTATGATAACATTTAAAGTCTAAAACTTAGTGAGATATAAAATTAATAAAAAAACATTTTTCAATGCATTTTTAAATGTTCGTTTTTTGTGTAGATTAAGAAAACAAATATACCAACTGCGTGTAACGCTTTTCAAAAAAGTTATGAACGATTATATTCGAAGAAGTTCGTTTATGATCACATTTAGTCATAAAACTAATGAAATTTTGAGGTGAGAATTTTACTAATTTTTTTTCCATAAATCCGCCGCAAAGATGAAGATTTAAAAAAAATCATGGAAATCAGATGATTTTTCGATTTTCTAACTGTTACTTTTTGTTTATTACAATGAACGAGTACTCAAGCCAGCATATCGATGTAACAGTTCAACAACAAAACAAAAACGTAACAAAGTCTAACAACAAACAATAATTATGTACAGTAAGTAGATTTACTTAAAACCAGGAATGTTATCACAACGCAGAGCGAGGGACGACCGCTCGACGGCACAAGCGCACACTGCACCCTTTTTTACCTGGAGACAGCCGTTATTCTGTCTCGCTCGCACTGTTGTGCACAGCGTTTTTTACCTGCTCACACAAAGGATGCTATTGTGCTTGCTTACGATTCCTTGAATTATTGAAGAATTTTATCTTACTCACTGGAATGGGTGTTTAGTTATCTAATATCGGGGTAGAGGCACTTTGAACAGTTACATTCAAATTATCATAGCTCCTAAACTATCTAACTCAGAGTTAAGATTTAAATGTGCATTTATAGCAAATATCCTGTATTATAATAAAAACAAGTAAAAAAAATTGGTTAACACGATGGTTTTTTTTTAAAGCTAAGAATCTGAAAAACAACATCAATTTGTTGTCTAATTTATTTTTTCAAAAATGTTTTTTACTAATACTGAAAAATTAAAAAATAATATTTTGAATCTAGATTTATTGTCTACACTATTAACTAACATTTGAGACCAATTTTGTTTTTGAAAGTCTTTTACTTGGGTAGATATTGTTAAATTAATACAAGCATCTATGCTTCGCCAACAATTTTTTTAAAGTGCTGCCATTTTTTTATTGATGGCGAAAAAAATCATTGATCCCTGATTTGTCGATAAAATGAATTGTATTTTAACCCCTTAAAGTATCGGACATCGAAAACCGGACACATTGTATATAGTATTGTTCCGAGCTTGAGGTTCGTGACATTGCCGATAGAATTACCTAAATTAACACTTTAATTCACTTTACACTAATTAAAGTTAAAGACACTAATAATTAATCACACTGATTCACTTTATTCCGCTCCGAAGCTTCGCTTGTCTCGCCAACTTCAATACTTCCCCGATCGCACCTTGCAGCGCCTATAAATACACATTAGTACCGAATCATCCCGAACATTCAAGTAAATACGCGCACCAATCGACAAAGCGTCGAAAGTTCGAGAGTCAGCTTCCAGAAGCTTAGTTTTTCCTTTCGACAACAGATGGCGCTGTCGGTTGAAAGATTAGTGATGTCATTTTCTGGAAAGCTCTCCCATCGCTCCGTTACCCGACACTAGATGGCGCTAGTGCCGTCGACTTAGGCGCGTAACACTGCCCCCTCCTAAGATATGCTCGTCCCGAGCATTATCGGCCCCATAATAACGCGCCAGGCGATCCACATGGACGATCTTAGGAGTCCCTCTTGTGCCTTTCTGTAACGGCTCCGCAATGTCAAGGGCTGTCCTATCCCATGGTGCACCAACATTGTACAATTTCGGTGCTCCTCTACTACGTGTCTGAGGTCCCCTCACGGCCGCACAACTTGCACATGTACGACACCAAGCCTTGACATCGTCACGATAATGGACCCAGTAAAACTGTTCTCGGACCTTCAGCAGAGTTCGTTTAACTCCCAGATGGACTCTTGAACGACCATTATGGCACAGCTGTAGAACATTCGGCACTTTAGCCTTAGGGACAACCATTTGCAAACGACAGCTGTCTCCTCGACCATTGTCCCATTTACGGCACAGGACTCCATCCTGAATCAGCTAATCGTCCCACTGGGCCCAATAGCCTCTAGTGATCGAACTCATCGCTGAGACGTCGCTCCACTTAGGCTTGGTAGCACGGGCCTTCATCCATTCCAGAATCGGCTTGATGTCCGGATCTTCCTGCTGTGCATGTCGTAGGCTGTCCTTCCACTCGTTGCTGAGGTGGTCTGTCCTGAGCATCCTCACGGATACCACTTCCTTACTCTTTTGCCTAGTACAATGTTTCCAATCTTCACGACAAGGTCTTCTTGACAATGCATCTGCGTAGCCATGAGATTTCCCACTGCGATGTCTGATAGTAAAGTCGTATCCCGGCTGCTGCTGGGCGGTGATGGTAGCCGGACTTCCCTTCTGAGATCGTTCACCTTCCCTTTCTAGGGTTCGCTTACGGCAGTTGGATCGAAGATGGCCCCTTTCCCCACAGCCATAGCACCTAGGGCTGTATCCTTTATTGTGGTCGCGAACCGTAACTGCTGCAACCTCCCTAGCGCGAGGGGAACGACGATCCTGCCACCGCCAGGCGGTGTCGTTAGCTGCACTACCCTCTCGAAATCGATCAACTCTCCTTTCTACAGTTCGCTTAGGGCAGCTGGAGCGAAGATGGCCTCTTTCCCCACAGCCATAGCACCTAGGGCTGTATCCTTTATTGCGGTCGCGAACCGTAGCTGCTGCAACCTCCCTGACGCGATGGGAGCGAAGATCCTGCCGCACGGCTTCCACCTCCAGTGCATGGGCCAAGGCGTCCTTAAGCGTCTCGTGGTGCCCGAGCCTCACAGCAGCTCTGACTTCCAGGTCGCGGATTCCGTCGATGAATGTCTGAACCAGGTTCCCTTCAATGAGCGCAGGTACAGACTGGTATGCTTTTCGAACCATCTTCTCCACCTCAAGGGCCCACTGCTGCAGGTTTTCGTTGCTGCGTTGCACGCGATTTTTAAGCTGCGCGCGAAAGACGTGTTCCAGGTGAGCGTCACCATATCTCGCCTCCAATACCTCAAGGAGCTGCTCGTAGGTCACTTTCTTACCGAGAGCTTCCAACACAGTTAAGGCTTGGTCGCGCAGGCCTAAGGTGAGTGCAGTCATGGCCTGGCTTTTATTCCAGCCGTTTGCCTCCATGACGGCCTCGAACTGTATTTTGTAGGTCGACCAGGAAGAAGTCCCGTCGAACGGTGATACCTTGAACCCACGTAACGAAGGTGTAGTAGCTACTGCGGGGGCTGCAATTCCATCTCCAAGTTTGAGTTCATCCAGCGTTTTCTTAACTTGGTTGATTTGGGTCTCAGCTTCCGACAGGCGGTTATCATGTTGAGCAACCTTATACTTCACCTCCCTTATCTCTTTCTCGAAGGTAGCGTGAAGGTCCTTCATGAAAAGCATCTGCTCTTCCCTATCGCGTTTGAGCTACTCTTCTAAGCGACGGGCCTGTTGCTCCTGTCGGCTGGCCTGTTCCTCCTGCTGCTCTTTCAACTGACTGGCCTGTTCCTCCTGTCCGCGCTTCAGCTGCTCTTCGAACCGACGAGCCGGTTCCTGCAGCATCACCATCAGAGCGCCTAAATCAGGTGCTGCAGATGCAGGAGCTACTGACGGACCGGCCTCCGTTGCCGGCGGCTGGCCCTCCGACGTCTGCGGCGTTGCACCACCAAATCTTCTCTGGTCCGTCTCATGCTGGCGTTGACTGCGGGTACGAACACCCTCCGTTTCCTCCTTAGGTAAAATCGGCATGATTTTATCCCACTTCTGACACCAATTGTTACGAGCTTGAGGTTCATGACAATAAAAATTGCCGATAGAATTACCTAAATTAACACTTTAATTCACTTTACACTAATTAAAGTTAAAGACACTAATAATTAATCACACTGATTCACTTTATTCCGCTCCGAAGCTTCGCTTGTCTCGCCAACTTCAATACGATCGCACCCTGCAGCGCCTATAAATTCACATTAGTACCGAATCATCCCGAACATTCAAGTAAATACGCGCACCAATCGACAAAGCGTCGAAAGTTCGAGAGTCAGCTTCCAGAAGCTTAGTTTTTCCTTTCGATAACAGATGGCGCTGTCGGTTGAAAGATTAGTGATGTCATTTTCTGGAAAGCTCTCCCCTCGCTCCGTTACCCGACACTAGATGGCGCTAGTGCCGTCGACTTAGGCGCGTAACAGTATTTTCCAAATAAAAATACTACAATAATAGTCCCATATTGGCAGCATGTAAGTACAATAATAAGAAAATATGGGGTAAAATATTTTACTATGCCTAGCAACATTTTCGTTATATTGGCGTCTGTCAAATTTACTATTTATTATTTTGTTTTGATGAATATTTTTTTATAAAAATATAAGATGCTAGGCGGTATTGACCCGTGAAATTACATTTATAAATTTTTTTCATGATTATGTGATGAGTTGTGACACTCTTTAACAGCACAGTACGTCATTTTTTTTTCAAAATTGCGCAAGCTCTTTACACGACTACGTGGTCTCGAGTACTGACGCGCCGAAAGTCGTACTTAGCCTTAAAAGGCTAACTTGAAACAGCTTCACTTTGCGTGCGCCTGCTGCAGTTCTAAGCCTAATAATTCTATTCTATGAAGTGGGTTGTTTTTCCACTTCTATGTTATAAAAATTTTAGGTTATAAAATATGAAAAATTGCACAATATTTTATTTCTTAATAATTTTTTTAAATATGTTTTCACTTTTGTTTTATTCTGATTTGTCCAGGACACAAGCATCTTATCGCACCACTAATTGAAGGTGGAGCTGATCCAAATATTCGTAATGGGAAAGGATTTACACTGTTACACCAAGCCATTGTTGAAGAAGATTCTAGAACTGCAATTTATCTACTCGATCACGGAGCTGATATGAACGCATTGTAAGTAGCCATTCTCTTACAGTTTTTAGAGTTACCTAGCAAATTTTCAATCTAGTTAAACAAAATTTTATGGAGACTTAAAATAATGTAACTATTAAATTGAAAAAATGTTGGCAAAAGTCTCCTAAACGTGTAAGGTTTTTGAAGTTGTGAAGAGTTCAACACCGCTAATTTATTTTTGAGCATCAAATCAAATTCTTGTTGCTATTTGTAGCAATAGGACCGTCTTTTGTTTTTCCCTCATTGTTCATTTTTTTTTTGTTATATTTGTGTTTCGTTGGTGTACAATAAAAAATATTGTACTGTATTGTCGCTCGAGTATTAAATGATCGAGCAACCACTGTTTGATACTGACACTTATATTTAATATTATGACAAATTATAATTTGTCATCACTATAAAGCCAATAAAATAACAAGTCAGTCAATTGGTGCGTTTGGCAGAAAAAAGCGCTAGCTAGCGCTTACAAGCGCTAAAATAGTTTTCGGCCAGGACACGATTGCTACTTCAGTAGCGTTGACACAATCCGCCATTTTGCTTATTTATTTTGTTTGTTTTGAAGTAGAAATTATAAGTTGTTTTATGCAATATTAGTTTTAAGTAATATAATGACATGAATAGACATATACATGTTATTAAAAATTCATGATTGGTAAGTTTTTAATATGAATACTATACAAACATATATTTAAATTAGGTTAGGTTCCCCGGTTAAAACTAACATCGTGTCCTGGAGGAAAATAGCTACTTACGATTTGACAGCGCTTACCGCTTACGATCGCCATTTTGCTTACAAGCGCTTGCTAGCGCTTTTTTCTGCCAAACGCACCCAATAAAAACGAATTTTACGTATGTGTCTACTACGTCATCCGTACCAATATTTACTCAGTCTTTATATCAATTCCGTTTTTATTTGTCTGGGTGTCCCAATAACTACACAGCCCCACCAGTATCAGTCCCAAACCTGCACTTCTTAACACTTTTTAGTATATCTATAGGGAAAATAAGCTTTAAACGACTTACTGAAACAAATTTAATTTGATATGTATGAAACAACTGTAAAGCGATCAATTTAAAGCAGCACCTTAATTTGTTTCATCCAATACAATAAACGCGTACACGCTTGCCTTTGCTTGACTACCTGGTTATATCATAGCAATAACTGACTATCACTGTCTCCAACATACAACACCAACCGCAACCTTTATTCGGCTTCCATCGTCTGCTCAGTTTTTCACTAGTCAATTGTACGTCATCATGTAAACTCCGACGCGTCCAAATCGGCGTGCGTGACCTACGTCGGTCTAATATAGTTGACATTTTAATGCTGAATACCGATATTTCTCGATTATTCGAAAAATAGTGTGTTCTTCGCTTTGTGTTTTTTATTATGTGCCGTGTACAGCAGCTCAAGGACTGGTTGCTTGCTTAAATGTCGCTTTAAATGCAGTAACTCTAGAGAAACTATTCAAACTTTAATTGCTGGTTTACATATTGTAAAGAACGCATCGAGAGGAAACTTAAATTTATAAGCAAAATAAACTATGTGAGGATGTAATGCGAAATTCACCAACTATTACTGGTGGAGTGTGGTGAATTTTTTGATGTTCCAGAGATGTTCCATGTCGGATATGTATATCACACTATCACTATCACTACAGCCCTTCAAATCCACTGCTGAACATAGATCGCCCCAAGTAATAATGCCACAAAGCACGGTCCTGAGCCACCTGCATCCATCGACTTCCTGCATGACCTTACCACGGTCTTACCAGGTCGTCTAGTGGGGGGTCGCTCTACACTACGCCTACCGGTACGAGGCTGCCACTCGACAACCTTTCTTTCCCATCAGTTATCGGTTCTTCGAGCTATATGGCCGGCCCATTGCCACTTCAGCTTACTAATCCTTTGGGCTATGTCGGACACTCTGGTTTTACTGCGGATATCCTCATTTCTGAGTCTATCACGCAGAGTAACTCCGAGCATAGCCCTCTCCATATCTCGCTGAGCGACCTTGATCGTCCTCTTACGGCCAGCAGTGAAGGACCACGTCTCAGATCCGTAAGTCATCACTGGCAACACGTACTGGTTGTACAATCTAGTTTTCAGAGTTTGAGGTGTACCTGACGAGAAGACGTGTCGTAATTTCCCAAATGCTGCCCAGCCGTTATATATATGGTTATGTATATGCAACGTTATAAAAAAGACTATGTAAGTTTCTGCTCTTTTGAATGCGCGTAAATATTTTTCTTAAACTAAAAAAATTATCTTGTAAACCAAATTATGATGGACGTGCAAATTTAGTTCACATGGATGGAGTATCTTCAACTGTGAAAATTTCGATACACTATGCTGCTCGCGAATCTTCCATTGCTTATTAAAATTTTGACTTCAAAGAGTGATTTGTAAAATATCATAAATCAGACGGAATAATATGGTCTTGATTCAAGTTTTGACCTTATGAAGTTTGAGTTTGTACTCTATCGGCCGGTTTCCATCGGTCTGAGAAATGGGAGCTGTTCCCAGCGATGGTTCGTGTGTTATGTGTATGTATGTATGTATACGTTCGGCGGGCACAGGACGGATGGTGGCGAGACGCCGCTGCAGCTGGCGATCCACTGCCGGCTGGGGCTGGTGGTGGAGGCGCTGTGCGTGCGCGGTGTCGACATGAGCCGCCTCGACGCGCACGGCGTACCACCGCTCTGGGCCGCGCTCGACTCCGGCCAGGAGGAAGTGGCCAGTGTGAGTACTCTTTCATTATAGACCTGGTGGACAAAAAAATCTTATTTTGGACACGATTTTGACGCTCCAGAATTGATATTTCTTGAATTCTACTACTACTAGTTCATTCATACATAAATTACTCACTTAAATTCTAAATCGAACGAAGTTTTAAAACTTATCAATCGAGATTCAAAAGTTATAATTTTATCTCGTGGATATCTCGTCTTCTTTGAGCGATAACCATATAATATTTTTCGATAATATGAAAGAGGTGTTATTGGATTATAGTCTTAATTGACTACATTTTAATGAAGACATTAATAGTTATTTTGCAATCCTCCGCTCAATTAAATGAAATGATCTATACCTAGTAGTACCTACTTTGAAGAGCACCCACTCCCAACACTACTACTCCCAACACCACTTTTTAAGATAAAATTCTTTCCTTGAAGAGTGGTGTTGGGAGTAGGTGCTCTTCAAACTAGGTAAGACAGATCATTTCGTTTAATTGAGCGGAGGGTTGCAAAATAACTATTAATGTCTTTATTATAATGGATTTCCGCAAAGTAACGCCTGATTCTATCAAATGACTACATTTTTATTAAAATCCTTTGTTTTCTGATAAGAAGCAAAAACTTTTCAAATAAAAAAAGTTTTTGTCCAGCAAATGTCGCACGCTTATTTCGTGCTGGACAAAATATGCATGCAGCATAGAAGGGAGCGCTAAAAGCCTTATAATGTAGGAAATCCTCGCCTTTATCTGATATTCCATTTTTATATAAAACTGAAGTGACAAACGACCTTACAGATCACCTTGTGGTAAGTTTATGGACACCACAGCTAGCCTTCATACATATGCTACAGATGCGTTGTCCACACTGAGGACTAAGATGGAATGCCTCACAACCGGTAAATTACACTGGCTCTCTCAACCCTTCAGATCGCATTTTAACATGTAGGAATATATTATCGTAGAAGTGATTATCACTGTGTCATATTTTGTTGTTTTAAAACAGGAGTTGAAATGTCAAAGGAGCAAAAGTTATTTTAACGCTTCTTTAGAGAAAATCTGGCACCGCACTCGGTTGTTTTTTACAAAATTAAGTTGATAAACGAGTACAAAGTTCACCAAAGACAATATGCTCTTTGTATTTCACCATAGATATTTACATCTACCCTCAATTAAAAATCAAAATGTAGATGCGTTATATCTCTGAGGACTAAGATGTCTCGTATAGTATAGCTTGTCTGTACCGATGCGATGCAGTTTCTTTCTCAAAATGTTGTCTTAGAAGTCGCATGACATGATTTGGCGTACTCATTTCTAATAATTTATGTCTATAATCTAGATTATGAATGTTTTCCATATACAACCATTATCTTGATTGAAAACGCCTTTAGAAATTAAAGTGTAATACTAATTAAATTTTACTGATCGCCAATTTAATTTTAAATATATTATTTATGTTAAGTATACAATATTTTTATATAGTATATTATATACTATATATTTCTTTGTTATTATTCAACTTTTGTGGTAGATTCTTGTCAGAAATGGCGCCGATGCTGACTGTTGGGGTCCCGGTCCCGATGGATGCCTACAAACTTTATTGCACAAGTAAGACATTTCATTTTTACATATTCCATTTGGTAAACCTTAATTTATAAACCAAGCGAAATATTTGTGTATTAGATTAAGCATTATTAAAAAAAAAGAGTAATTGAATTAACTCTTGACTTGGTTATGGCTAAAGGGATTTTGCATACATTTAATCCATTACCAACACAAAAATTCAGTTAGCAAATTAATGTATTCGTAGGGCGATCGACGAGAACAAAGAGACGTTGGCGACCTTCCTGATTCGTGCGGGCTGCGATGTGGAATGTACACGACGCATCGGCCCAAATGGCGAAGGCGCTGAAGTGGCGGCCGAGCGTCACACACCGCTGCACCTGTGCTGCACCTGGGGCCTCACCGACGTCATACAGGTGCCACATGCTCCCACTGCGCAGCATTGCAGGCTCCTTACTCTGAAGTGACAGCCGAGCGTCACACATCGCTGTACCTGTGCTGCACTTGGGGCCTCACCGATGTTATACAGGTGCCATATACTCCCACTGCGCAGCATTGCAGGCTCCTTACTGTGAAGTGGTAGCCGAGCGTCACACATCGCTGCACCTGTGCTGCACCTGGGGCCTCATAGATGTCATGTCTAACAGGTGCCACATGCTCCCACTGCGCAGCATTGGAGGCTCCTTACTGTGAAGTGGCAGCCGAGCGTCACACATCGCTGCACCTGTGCTGCACCTGGGGGCTCACCGACGTGATACAGGTTCCACATGCTCCCACTGCGCAACATTGCAGGCTCCTTACTGTGAAATGGCAGCCGAGCGTCACACATCGCTGCACCTGTGCTGCACCTGGGGTCTCACTGACGACACTGACATCATAACTATTATATTTGGTATTACTGTCGTTACAACCTATTAAAACCCAGTGTTAAACGTAGGCCTCCCCTTAGAGTATTTATTACCAAGCTATAGAGCGCGCGATAGTGAGTATTTACGAATTAGACCTAGTGCTGTGAAACGTTGCGTTGCGTTTTAATTTATTTAAAATAAAACAACAGATCAGAATTTAAAAAAATAGGAATTTATAAATAAACTCATGGTCGGAGGTCGGTTAAAATTATTGATTTCGATCTAATTGCCTTCACAACATTACTCTCCTGCACTCTATTTAGTCTGCCTCTTCTTACTGCCGTGTATTCAATATTAAAATGAGGCACTTAGATCTTGACAGCCACCGTCCAGTGAGCTAAGCTGTCTCCCATCCCTTGGTCACAAAATTAGTCCAGAGGGAGTTCCTAAAGACGTATGCAGTCCAAACATTAGAACGAGTATAGAACAGAACTATTTGTGTACTGCTAATAGCAACAGTTGTGCAACTATGCAGAGCAGAGCTATTATGAAGATTTACAAATACAGGTAGAAGAAGCATGTGATTCAAGTTCCCTGGGATGATATGATGTGCAGCAAGATTTAATTAAAATAAAGTAAGATATTTTTAAATTAATTATCTTACTTAAAAATAAAACAATAGGCAACCGTTTATTGAATGAAACGATTTAAGCAGCAAACTAAACGAAAAATAATCATTTTAAATTAGTAGAGATTTTATCAGATCGATGATCCCAAGTCCTGAGTGAGAATACCCTAAAATAGACTATATTATTGTAGTGCGCATATATAGTTTATATAACTATAAATTTACAACGAAAAGTTTACATTATGTTACAACACTCTTAATATAGCTAAAGTATTACTATAAAATACATATTACAACTAAAGAAATTATTACTAACGAAATACAAAGAGTAAGCGTCTATATCTACATACCCTTAAAATATGTGAGAATAATTTGCACAACTTACCCAATACGGGAATCATCTTAAGAACGATTAAGATGTATAGTTTAAAGTAAAATATTTAGGAGAAGTGACTGACAAGACTGTGTTATAGAACTTATGATCAAATAAGGCAAAATAAGCGCGAGTGCTCGTCAACGACGTGAGACGTTGGTGTCGCCCGCAGATATGACCTCTGGCTATGACGTTCTCATGCCCGGTTCTCGTTTGCTTGTCTCCTCCCCTTCACCCTTCGGTACTTGTACACCCCCCTTTGTACGCACCGATCGGACAAAACACAAAGGCGACTGCGCGCCAGTATTTTTGTGATTATTTTTTTATTATTAATAAAATATAATAAACACTCGAATATTTTTAATTTAATAATGTTATATTATTATACAATCATAGTATTGGAAGTTAAGATACTTTTTATTCCTAACCCATATCGTCGTCATAACAACCAAATCAACGTCTAAAATAAAAATTTTAAAAGCTTCGTTATATAGGAAGTAATTAGATATTTGTGTTTGATTAATAAATATAGTTTTATAAATATATTCCCGTTTTTTATTGACCTACGAAAATCTACCATATATTTACTTACCTACCTAAAAATTACTAAATTAAAAAATTAAAAATAATTTTAACCGACCTCCAACCATGAGTTTATTTATAAATTCCTATTTTTTAAAATTCTGATCTGTTGTATTATTTTAACTAAATTAAAAAGCAACACAACGTTTCACAGCACTCTCAACTCGTTCGGGGAAAACCCGCGCTCCTAGTTTAGTCACGCTTAGGTGTGGAGCAGGCCACGTGCTGTGTCATGTCACCCCTTCCGCGTGCCTCTCGCTTCACCTTTTAACGCCCAAATAATTTTGTTAAAATCAATGTTTTCTTTGAGAAATATTACATACGGCTAATATGGTGGGTGAGGCCTCAGGTGCAGCAGAAATTTTTTGAAGCATTCGTCGTTTTAACTTTACGTAATGCAAAAAGAGGTTTATTTCGTGCACCTAACCGGTGACACGCAAGATTCACTTTGCTTAAAAGTAGGGGAGATTCGATGATATTATGTAGCAATTTGTACAATAACATTTGATCTCTTATATCACGGCGTTTTTCGAGTGTATTACTCTGTGTCTAAGCTATCAATAATGGAGTCTACAGAAGAATTATATCGCTTTAAGTGACGCAGAAACTTATTATTGATTGTTTCAATAATTTTAACATAAACTTTGTATTGAGGATTTCAACATGAAGAACAATATTCAAGAATAGACCGCATCAGAGTATTAAATAGTATAATTAATGTTGTAGAGTTTTTAAAATATTTTGAGATATGCATAACAAAACCTAGCATTTTATAAGCTCTTGGAGTTATGATATTAATATGTGATCTCTGTAACAATTTACTGTCCAAAATGAACACCAAGATCACGCAGTTCATTTACTCTCTTTAGTAAATTATCGTCGAGCTTATAGTTAAAGAGGATTGGATTCTTTTTCCTGGTAAATGAGATAATACTACATTTCCTGATGTTAAAGTAAAGATGATTTGCTTGGCAATATGAACTAAGCCTACACAGATCTTGAAGTAGATTGCAGTCTTCTATAGATTTATTAGACCTGAAAATTTTCATATCTGCAAAAAGGAGAATTTTGGAATTATGGAAGCAGGATATTAAATCATTTATAAATATTATAAATAGTAGTGGACCAAGATGCGAACCCTGAGGAACACCTGAACAAACTGGGAGAAATGATGAACAGTGTTCTTTTATTGCAACTGCCTGACTACGATTTCTAAGATAAGAAGATATCCATCGAAGTAAATCACCATGTATACCGTTTTGATCTAATTTGTGTATTAGAATACTATGTGAAATTTTGTCAAATGCTTTTGTAAAATCGGTGTACACTGCATCTACCTGCAGTCCACTATCCATTGCAATATAGAGATGATCAAGGAACTCGCAAAGATTACTTTCTGTAGACTTTCGACCTTTAAATGCCCATGTTATTAAAATAACATTTCTTAGCAGATCGTAGCTCCATCTAATTCTAATGAGCGGCCGTTTTACACTTACCTTACCAGTCAATTAAATTGTAATTGCAATTTCATGTCCTGGTTTAATTCTTTACTTTTTCTGATTTATTTAACATTTCAAAGACATTTGAATTCTGCCAACACGCTTTTGAAAAGCAGTGGACTAATCGTTCGATAAACCACTCAGAAATAAGAGAAGATCTGTGCCCTACTTTTTTAACTTTTAATTCATTAACTCATAAAAATATTAGCATTATAGTACATTATATAGAGGCTTCTTACTTCCACTAATTTAACGAATGTACATAAAGATGATATCCTGAACTACAGTCTGAGTGAGATTAGAATGGCTCTCCAGCACCTTAAAACGGGCGAGGATTGAATTACAGCGCGGCTTCTGCCGTTGGAAAACTGATACTTAAATTCCTTCAGAAGCTCTTCAATTTCTTCATGATGGCACTACTCCGGTGGCGTAGAGCAGAAGTGCGGGGTAGTCTTGTCTTCAAGAAAGGCGACAACGCTCTCCTGAAGAAGTACAAACCGATTTCCCTTCTAAACCGCGTCTGGTGCTGTTTTCGGAAGTCGTTACGAAAGGTCTCGCTCGCAGACTCGACGACTTCCAGCCTCCCGAACAAACCGATTTCCGAAAAGGATTTAGCACCATGGACCACCATACATATCCTACGGTAAATTGTACAGAAGTCCGAAGAGTAAAATCTGCCACTTTGTCTTGCGTATGTGGACTGCGAGAAAGCCTTTTATTTGTACATATTAACGGTGAGACCCCATATCATCTCGTGGATGTTAATATGCGACAGAGAGAAACAAATTAGGATATGGGCAGCGGCGTCTTCCTCACAACGACTAAAATAAAATAAACTGCGGTTGCTAAGTGCTAACCCGTTTGTCAAGAGTGGCGACTAGGCACACATTAGGGGGGATGTGTGCCTAGTCGCCACAAAGGAGTTAAGGAATCCAAGGGCCCTTAGAGTATTTATAAGCAAGCTATAGAGTGTGCGTATCGCTCAATGCCCATTATCATTATTTAATCTGTGTCATTATGCCAAAATTAAAAAACTCAATATGGTGATTGTATTGCTTCAAACATTTTTTAATATGAAACTGTTATTAAATGAATTGCTGCGTTACTTACCATAAATTGAAATATAAAATATAACACATTTTTCACGATATACCGTAAGATTTTACGATGTTTAAAGGAACGACAGACAATATTATTTAAGAAACAAAAAAAAAACATGTGTGCTGACCTAGAATTGTTATATTATTCACAATTCTAGGTCAGCACATATGTTAGAATAATATACAACATTTTATTTAAATACTGTTATCACATCTAAATTGAGATTTTGTAAGTTACGCCTTTTGACACTTGGCTCATATCTGAGGTCTTTGTCCCTTTTTCTCAATCGATTTGGTACATACTATAGGTACTATATTTAACATTTTAGCTACCTAGCGTCCAAATTTGACCGCGGCGATATTCTGTCAAAATTCAAGAGGTCAAATATGACTGCATCCACCCTCAGCACTTTAACCCATAAATACTTATGTTTAGGGACTACTTTTCAATGAAGTTTGGCATTATAGAATCAATATGAAATTTTCTATCGTCTAGTGAAATAAAAGAGTCAGTTAGTCTATAGATATTTATTTATAATCTACGTTCATTTCGTACGCCATTTTCGTGTGAATGTTGTTGTGTTGATTTTTGGATTTTTCTAATGCTTTATTAGTGTTTTAACATAGTGTTTTATTATAAAATTGTAATGAATGTTTTTGTGTGAATATAATTTATCTTTTTACGCAATATAAAATATATATAGAAATAACTGTGATTTTCACGCAGCCGACATCCGCTTGGTTTATTTTTTTTTGTTATCAAAATTCAATAAAATCTTGTAATGAAGTAAAACTTGACTTTAGTTTAGACCACAGGATAGAAAATTTCGTATAGATTTTATAATGCTAAACTTCTTCAAGAAAAGTAGTCTCTAAATATAATTTTTAATGGTTTTAAGTGCTGTGGGTAAGTGCGGTCGAATGCGACCGCTCGGGATACGACGGACGCATGCGACTGCATGGGATTTTTATGGGGATTGAAGAGTTAATGATAATACATATTTTATTATCCTAATGTAAAAACTTGTAAATACATATTTGCATACTCAATAATTACTGCTTCTGTCATGCTCCTCTTCTACGACATAGTGGTCTCCTTGCTGTGAAGTGACGACCGAGTGACAGACTGTATCAGGGGCCTCTATATTATATGTTAACCATTTTTCCAATTTACGATTATATTAACATTTTTAAACCAAATTAATACCAAAAGTCAATTAATAGAAATCTTAATATGTTTGTTTAATTCTTTCAGACATTACTAGAACACGGTGCAAATATAAACTCAAAAGACGCTGAAGGAAAAACGCCGGTACACATTGCGATCGAAAACCAGCATGCGGGTATCATTTCACTGCTGCTATCGCAGCCCGGCATAGATTTGTCCGCAAGAGACAATAAAGGAGTTTCCCCATTCGCGGCTGCACTTACAGCTAGAAATAATAAGGCAGCTCAAGCTATACTTGAGAAGAATCCCTCGGCTGCTGAACAGGTGAGTGATTAACTGTATACAGTAAATGTAAATAATAAGAATTTCTACATTTTCATTTTGTTTTTTACCTTTTACACGTTCTATAAATAGTATAAAGTTTTGACCAACGTTCGATTAAGTTTTTGGAAAATTAAGAATATTAAAACAGAAAATATTAATTTCTACAAACCGGTGACTGTTTCCGTCCGTGGTGTGGTTATCTATAACTTTGGTATACAAAGGGTATTCCAAAGTTTTAGGTAAAAAGAGGAAACGGTATATCATACAGTTTATTCTTTGAAAAAGAAATCCGGCGTTCGAAAATAATTAATATTAATAATTATTAAATGGTCAATAAAGTATTACTGGTCGAAAAATAAGAATTAGGAATTTGATACAATTATTTAATTATATTTATGTTTTGTAGATATTGAACTTTTTTTTAAAATAATAGTACTTTGGTAGAATTTTCACATAAATACTCAAGTAATTTCTCTTAATGGAATGTAAGGTCCACCACGTTACTCTTGTGACTTAACATCTTTAAAATTTTGATACATTAAACATATAGTTTAAATAAACATCAATGTCATCAATAACGGGTATTTTGGAAACGCTCCCGAAAACGAAGAGACAGACGATATATATTTGATGATTAGACAAAAAGAAAATCTATCCCGATGAAAAAAAAATCATTTTTACAACGCTTAATTAGCTTTATTCACGCTCTATCATGTTAATACAGCTAAATGAAACAAAACACACAAACCAAGGGTCATTGTACGCGCGATAGTACTAATAACTAATAATTTGCAACACTTGTCTAAATACCCAACTTATCTACTTAACCTACTATTTTGCCATTGGGCTAGTCTCCACCTAGCTACTTTGATTCGAATTCTTTATTCGACAGGTTAATGCTAATGTAAAATTTATTTAAATTATCCATCGTCTATGTATGTTTATTATTCTGATGTATTCAGTTATGTACCTATTCAGATCAGGTCGGTACTAAGTTATTTAAAAAAATATAAACCTGCCCATACGTTAACCGAACATTGGGTTTGGTATTTCTTCGGTTGCACAGGCCGTTTCTGGTAAAAGTCGACTCGTCCATCCAGATGACGTGCTCAATGAAACCAAGCACACGTTGTTGCTGGTCTAATAAACAACGGCAGAAAACTTGCCGGCAGTCGTGATAGCCAGGAACTAATGCTTGCACTTTGTGCACTTTGTATGGGTGCATTCGGTTACTCTTTAACACCTTGTGAACTGTCCGGTATGACACACTTGTTCCATCCCGATGCCTTAACAATTTAGCTGTAATTTATAAAATTGTAAATTCATAATGCACGCAAAGCATTCCCGCGAGCTTTTCCAAGGCACATTAACATGTCGCCGTATTCACGAGCACTATAAAATTACGCGTTAGGCATTATTAAAACAAAACAAGAAACACAAAACGTTACAACAATTTTATAAACAAAACGATGAAATTGTTGCGCACGCGCACGTCAACACAAAACGGTCTCAAAAACTAAACTAAGCCCACCGCCACCGCTACTTTCGTGTGTCCTTGCGGTTATCACTTTGACCATTCCACAGATCATTGAACCGTTACGACATTCCCAACTTCAATATTATTAGTTTAGTTATACCAACGACTAGCCTTCATATGGAATTTAGAAGTTAGAGTTGTCATTTTTTTTACACAATTAGACAATCAATTGTACTCTGACGCAACAAGCAGTACGTTACAACAAAATAATATGAAATTAATAAACGTACCTATTTGGGTACTCACTTACACAATTATAAACAAAATTTCATCGTTATCTTTGATTTTGTATAAGAAAATAGAAACGAAATGGTACTGAATAATTTAATAGTTAAAGTCAATTGCAATTATGATCGATAGTTAACTAATCTATCACAATTGATCTGAAAAATAATTATTTTACTTTATTTTAATTGACTGTCCTTTTTTAATCCGTCCAATACTTTTAATTTAAAAAGAGGTAAGTATTATGATTGTCGCCTCTGATTCTCATATGGCCTGCAAATTTTAGTAAGCAAATTTCGGTTTGGCATCGCCGCAACATCTGTGTGAAAGGGAAGGGTAGAGTGAGCGTAAATACAGTAATAACTATAATTATATATATACAATGTATCGTTTCTTACCCAGCTGGATAAAAAGAGTTCAGCGTCCGCGCGTTTCTTTGACCCTTTATTAACTGATTACAGGTATTGAAGTTTCACTGCTGGTTTAGGTATTTTCATGATTTTTTTAATGAAATTATCGTTTAATTTAGCTGTACTAACATGATAGGGCGTGAATAAAGCTAATTAAACATTGTATAAAAATGATATTGTTTTTTTTTCATCGGGATCGATTATCTTTTTGTACAATCATAAAAGGTATATCTTTCGTACTGTCGTCTGTCTTCGTTTTCGGGAGTGTTTCAAAAATACCTTTTTTATATACAATGGGCGACTTTTTTACCGTTTGGAAAAAAATAGGGTGTAACATGTGAACGGAGTAGACACCTATGGTATATATATATATATATTTATTATTATACATAATACATACATAAACAATCACGCCTGTCACCCAGAGGGGTAGGCAGAGACTACAGACTTCCATTTGGCACGATCCTGACACACCTCTCTCGCCCCCTTCACATCCATACACCGACGCATACATGCTCGTCGGTTAAGGGTACTCCTAATTTGGCCCGTTTTTAATAAATCGCCAATTTGGTCGACAAATTTTCGCCTAGGACGTCCCTTTCCGACTCTGCCATTCACTTCTGCAACATAAATTTTCTTTGTCACTCTTTCCTCATTCATTCTTTCCACATGACCAAACCACCGAAGCATTCCTTTCTTAAGCCTGGTCACAACATCATCTTGCAAACCACACTCTTCTCTTATTACACAATTTCTCTCCCTGTCGTTCAGATTCAGCCCTAACATACTCCTTAAGGACCGCATTTCTACTGCGTTGATACTACTCTCGTGCTTCTTCTGCCACACTCAACTTTCACTACCATACGTTAAAGTAGGGACCAATACAGCATTGTGAATTGCCATACGTGCCTTTTTTGACACATTTTGACTCTTCACAATAGAGTGCAGGTCCCCATTTACTCTATTTCCCGCATTCACTCGTCGTTCTATATCCTTATCATATCTCGCATCCTTGCTAAATACGCAGCCCAAACATACAAACTCATCTACTTGCTCGATCAACTCCCCTTCTATTCTTATTTCACAAATCGTTTTACTTTCTTCTCTTTCAAAAACCATAACCTTCGTCTTACTTGCGTTCACTTTCATACCCCTTTCTTTTAATGATCTGTTCATTAATGTAACCATCATTTGCAACTCGGCTGCCGACGACGCAAGGATAACTTGATCATCGGCGTACAAAAGGCATTTGACGGTTAACTCACCCATTCTTAATCCGCATTCTTCAACTTTCAAATTTTGCAAACAACTGTCCATAAATAGGTTGAATAGCCACGGGGAAGTCACACAGCCCTGTCTGACACCTTTATGGATGTCAAACCAGTCCGAGTAGACCCCGTTGATCCTAACACAAGCACTAGAGTCCCTATAAAGAGACTCCAATGCCTGTATCAAGCCAGCGCTCAACCCAAATGAGTTCAGTGTTTGCCATAGCACATCCCTATCCACTCTGTCATAGGCCTTTTCCAAGTCCATGAAATGATGATTCCCTTTCTGAATCCCGCTTGCACATCCCAAATTTTTTCATCAGTTTCTTTCATGACCCTTTCAATCAGTACCTTAGCAAACAGTTTTCCCACAATGCTAAGAAGGCTGATGCAACGGTAGTTTTTACAGTCCTGCTGCGACCCTTTTCCTTTATATACTGGGACTATCACGGCTTTGCACCAGTCTACCGGTACCCGCTTCAGTTCCCAGCATAAATTAAACAAGGTGTCCAACAGGCCTGCCTGCACGACTTCCTCTCCAGCCCTTAGCATTTCGAGTGAAACTCTATCATATCCGGTAGCCTTACCTGCTTTCATGCTTTTCATTGCTTTCATTATTTCATCTATACTTATCTCGCTACCTCTTTCCTCTTCTTTCGGAGTTTCTACTTCACTTAGTACACACGTTGTCTCCTCACATAAACACGCTTTCAAAATATTCCTTCCATCTCTTTAAACTCAAAACTTCATCTTTCAGAATATAGCCATTCTCGTCTCTTATAACATTCATCATAGGCTGTTTTGATGTCCCCTGGCAGTTCCTACAAGTTTCCAGAACATTTTAATATTTGCCTGGAAGTTATCCGATATTCTACTATCATTCTTATCCGTTCTTTCTTGCTTTTTTCTTTCAACTACTTCTTTTACTCTCTTATTAAGATGTTTAAAGACTGCCTTTTTTCTTTCAATAGCATCATTCGTACCGCTAGAATTACCAGCCTTTGTTGCTAGTAAATCTAGCCATGCTCTCTTCTTTGCTTCAACTTCCATACGTATCTCATCATCCCACCATAACGTATTATTTTTCCTTTCATTCTTCCTCTTACTAACACCACATACTTCGGTAGCTGCATCCACTAAACCTTTCTTTACATTTTGCCATACATTCTCCAAGTCTAACTCCTTCATACATAATTCATCCAAACCACTTATATTTTCTTTCAGTCTACATTTGAACTTGTTTCTCTCACCTTCATCTTGTAACCTTTCTGTTCTAATACGCTGTAACGCAGTGGTAGACACAGATGATCGATGGCGCCAACGCCTGAATAGACCATTAATTCGGCATAAAACCAAATAATGATCCGTTCCTACGTTAGAACCCCGGTGAACTCTTGTATCTACCACTGCACCCCTCAATCTTTCATCCACAATTATGAAATCTATCATGCTTCTATCGTCACCTCTTTCCCAAGTATACATGTGAATCTTCTTGTGGCGAAAGCAAGTGTTCGTCACAAAAAGATTCTTTTCCATACATACGGTGAGGAGACTTTCACC